TGTTTATCGTTTTGCAGAGGCGACGATGACTTTGGCGTTTGACCTCTGACCCTTCACCTCGAATCAAAGTGTCCGGTGTAAATCAGTTGAGCTCAGGGCGTTCACATGAGCTCTACTCGTTTAACTGCTCGTGTTTTTAAGGCGTGTCGAACTCGCCTTTAAACGCGACTTCTCTCGTGTTCTGAGAAGTGAAGACGAACGACACTTGCATAAGAACATTTACCCTTTGACCTTTTACAACTAAAACTGAAGTGTTAAATTAACTCTAGAACAGATTGGACTCTTATAAACCCTGAGAAAATGTTCAAAACTGATTCTGTCAGAGTTGATTTAACAATTTTGGAAATGTTCATAAAGTAACACTGGACCAAAGTCTCTGTTTAACCCCGAAATCAAGAGTTATATTAACGTTTTGAGAGTAAACAGATAACACTTTGTAGAGTTATCCTGATTTAACTAAACAACATACAGAGGAGTTTTATTTTTACACTTTATTTGAGTTAATTTAAGATGAAATTATGAACAAAACTGGTTCAAATTGGTCTTCTCTCAGGGGAGTTTGAAGTGGTGGGTGGGAAGAGACAAATTAACACTAAGAGAAGTTGAATTAACACTAAGAGAAGTTGAATTAACACCAAGAAAAGTTGAATTAACACTAAGAAAAGTTGAATTAACACTAAGAAAAGTTTAATTAACATTAGAGGAAGTTGAATTAACACTAAAATTTGAATTAACACTAATAAAAGTTGAATTAACATTAGTGGAAGTTGAATTAACACTAAGAAAAGTTGAATTAACATTAGAGGAAGTTGAATTAACACTAAAAAATTAACACTAAAATAAAAGAATTAACACTAAAAGTTGAATTAACACTAAAAAGTTTAATTAACACAAAGTTGAATTAACACTTAAGAGAAGTTGAATTAACACTAAGAAGTTGAATTAACACTAAGAAAAGTTGAATTAACACTAAGAAAAGTTGAATTAACATTAGAGGAAGTTGAATTAACACTAAGAAAAGTTGAATTAACACTAAGAAAAGTTGAATTAACATTAGAGGAAGTTGAATTAACACTAAAATTTGAATTAACACTAAGAAAAGTTGAATTAACACTAAGAAAAGTTGAATTAACACTAAGAAAAGTTGAATTAACACTAAGAAAAGTTGAATTAACACTAAGAAAAGTTGAATTAACATTAGAGGAAGTTGAATTAACACTAAAAAAGTTGAATTAACACTAAAAAGTTGAATTAACACTAAAAAGTTGAATTAACACTAAGAAAAGTTGAATTAACACTAAAAAGTTGAATTAACACTAGAGGAAGTTGAATTAACACTAAGAAAAGTTGAATTAACTTCAATCATATCAACTCTGGCAAATAACCCCAACTCAAACCCCCATTTAACTTTCAAATAGTTAACACTTTTTGTCTTAAAAACAACTCTGAAATATTTTAGTTTTTACTGTGCACTTTAGTAATATATAGTACTCTGTATCAGTACTCTTACTCGAGTAAAAGTTGTGTTTCCTCTTCATGCTGTGAGTGAGTCTAAAGTGACAAAAGTTTTATGTGACAGTTTGAAATTATTTGAACTTTTTTGTTTTTCTTGCAGCTCCTTCAGATCAGATTTAGTTTGTCTTTTTTGTCTCTTTCGTCTAAAAATAATAGATTTTGTGCAGCATTTAATATTTTTTGTACTTCCAATTACATAACTCTCAAACTCTAAATCAGATGTTGCTTCCGCTTACTCTTTAAATTTTTTATTAATTGAGCTGTTCTCTGTCCTCGAGTCATTTCTTACACAACTACTTTGTACTTCTACTTGAGTAAAACTATTTTGAAGTAACTGTACCAGTACTACTGCACATTCTGGCTCCTCTCTCCACCTCTGCTCTTCAGTAACAACATAAACTTAACTATGATTGGTTCTTTTAAAACATTTCACCTGTTTTTTGCTAAAATATTTGACAAAGTTAAATTGTGCGTGCTTTGAATTTTTGAAAAATACTATTGGAAAGATTATTATAATTATGAAAGATGTACATATGATTTTTTTATTATTTTGCCTAAATATTTACACTTATTATATCCATTTCAATTTTAGTATGTTTTTTATTTTTTATTATATTTTTATTATTTTTATTATTATTGTGATTATTATTATTTTTTATTTTATTATATATATATTTTTATTATTATTATCTTTTTTTTTTTTTTTTTTTTTTTTATCTTGTGCGTACCTGAAAATTCAACAGATTTTAAAATCTGTGTTGAATTTGTCCCACAATTTAGAATTTAATATCTAAGTTGTGGGCCAAACTAAATATTTATTGCAAAATGTCAACAGTATCTGCATGTTTTCTCTTCTTAAACCTTTTCTTATTAAAATAAATAATAGTTTTGCTCTAACATTGAATCCAGAACAAGCAAAATATAAAATAATAACCACATTTTTAAATAAATAATGTCTCTAATACAGATTTGATATGATTTTGTGGACCGAATATAATTATGTCACGGGCCAAATTTGGTCCCCGGGCCTGAGTTTGACATGTCTGGTTTCGTATATTTACATTTTTATTCAATACGTGTTGAAAAATGACTGTTTATGACGTTACACGCGGGAGAATTCCACACAAGAAACTGAAACTTGTGCGTTTAAAAATGCAGTGTGGTGTTTTTGTTTTAGCCCTGTGCGTTGTGGGGACTGTTTTGGAAAACTCCCCGTACCTTGTGCTCGCCGCATGTGACTAAAGCCGGTTTTCCTCCAGAATCTGGTCCGGCCTCTTCAGACCGGAATATCAGCCTGACGGTGCACTTCCTGTTTCCACGGCTGAGAGGGAGGAGGGAGGCAGGCGTGTTTCCTCTCGGATGATTAACAGGTTTCAGGTTAATTATAACACGCGATTACAGGGCCGTACAGTTGTTAATTCGTGGTTTTGTGAGCGAACGCCTTGTCAACCGAAAAACAAAACAAAACAAAAACAAATTATAATGGAGTTTAGTCTTTTAGAAATGCTCCTTTTCTCTTCCAGGGGCTAAATAAGTTCACAATCCTTAAAGCGCCCGACAGGTTTGACCAGAGTTTTACAAACCCATATTTTACATTATTCATAAATCACAAAATAAAGAAAAGTTTATTTGGCTTGAGACTTTTTCGCTGCTGTTGACTCACGTTGGCCTTGTATCTCGGTCAGGACCAGCGCAATTTATAAAGCCATAATTTAAAAAAAATAAAAAATAAAAAGACTTTGTACGGCCTTGCTGGTGATTTTCTTTTCTTTGCTGGAGGATCCCTGCTCCTCAGCAACAATGCCAAGACTGGACCAGGACTGGACCAGGACTGGACCAGGACTGGACCAGGACAGGACTAAAGCAGGACTAAAGCAGGACTAAAACAGGACTGGACCCAAACAGGACTGGACCCAAACAGGACCCAAACAGGACTGGACCAAAACAGGACTGGACCCAAAACTGGACTACCAAACAGGACTGGACCCAAACAGGACTCAAACAGGACTGGACCAAAACAGGACTGGACTGGACAAAAACTGGACTAAAACTGGACTAAAACTGGACTAAAACTGGACTAAAACTGGACTGGACTAAAACTGGACTGGACTAAAACTGGACTGGACTAAAACTGGACTGGACTAAACTGGACTAAAACTGGACTGGACTAAAACTGGACTAAAACTGGACTAAAAACAGACTGGACTGGACTAAAAACTGGACTAAAAACTGGACTAAAACTGGACTGGACTAAAACTGGACTAAAACTGGACTAAAACTGGACTAAAAAGGACTGGACTAAAACTGGACTAAAACGGGACTGGACTAAAACTGGACTAAAACAGGACTGGACTAAAACAGGACTGGACTAAAACAGGACTGGACTAAAACAGGACTAAAACAGGACTGGACTAAAACAGGACTGGACTAAAACAGGACTGGACTAAAACAGGACTGGACTAAGACAGGACTAAAACTGGACTGGACTAACTGGACTAAAACTGGACTGGACTAAAACTGGACTGGACTAAAAACTGGACTGGCTAAAACTGGACTGGACTAAAACTGGACTGGACTAAAACTGGACTGGACTAAAACTGGACTGGACTAAAACTGGACTGGACTAAAACTGGACTGGACTAAAACTGAACCAGGGCTGAACCAGGACTGAACCAGGGCTGAACCAGGGCTGAACCAGGACTGAACCAGGACTGAACCAGGACTGAACCAGGACTGAATCAGGACTGAACCAGGGCTGAGTGTTGGGACAGGCCCGTGTAGACCAGGTGACCGCAGGCGAAAGAACCGGTGCAGAGCTTCACACCCCACGGTTCTAAGCGCAGCCGTCGCTCGATCGCACTTTGCGGACACTCTGCTCCACGGACTCTGGGTTCTCCCTCACTCTCAAGTCCAAGATTAGTCCAAGATTAGTCCTGGTTCAGTCCTGGTTCAGTCCTGGTTCAGTGAGGTTTTTTTTGGTAATTGAGCTTTATGTGAAAAACCATTGAAATTCTGCATTGTTGGAGATTTTTTTTTGTCATTGTTCAGCCCCAGTTGCAAAAATGTGTTATTTTCTAAAAATGTGGGTCTATGTTTTTGGTTATATCCCTGTCAAACCATAAAGGCTTGAAGAAATGTCTAAAAAAAATATGAATGCTTTGTTTTTTCATTCAATTTAGTAATAATCTGATGTAGTATAATTCTTTTTAATCTAAATACAATAATTGGTGCACGAATACTAATTTTGATCAACCAAGACTCCATCGACCGATTAATCGACTACACGATTAAAGAACTACAGCTCTAATTTAGTTTTTGTCTCATCCTTTGTGTCAATCCTTGTATTTTTTTTCTTCAGCTGGAACTGAAAACAAAACTGAAATGTTCAAGTTTATTCGTTTTTGGACGTGTAAATTAATGTTAATGCAACTTCCACGTCACAATTTCCTGTAAACTCAATGTTTTTTTCATTTCTTTCTCCACAGTGTGAGTGAGATGACAAAGTCGCCCGTCTGATCGGACACACACACACAGGACAAACATGGACCCGCAGGTGTGCCCGCCCCCCCTCAACAGCAGCCAGTCGCTGATCCTGGGGCTGGACCGTTCGCCCGCCCACACGTATAAACCCGGACACTCACGGAACAGCAGCACCGGCTCCTCCAAGCACTCCAAACAGGTGAGAACAAACGAACGAAAGGCCGGAACGGAAAGGCCGGAACGGAAGGCCGGAACGGAAGGCCGGAACGAAAGGCCAGAGCGAAACGCCAAATGAAACCAAAATGCCAAACGCGAAACGTAACGCGAAACATAACGCGAAACGTAACGCGCAACGATAACGCGAAACGTAACGCGAAACGAAAACGTCACACGCAACGCCACACGGGAACTAAACGCCACACGGGAACTAAACGCCAAACGGGAACTAAACGCCAACGGGAACTAAACGCCACACGGGAACTAAACGCCAAACGGGAACTAAACGCCGCACGAGAACTAAACGCCGCACGGGAACTAAACGCCGCACGGGAACTAAACGCCACACACGCGAACTAAACGCCACATAACACGCCGGAACTACACGCCACACGCGAACTAAACGAGAACTAAAGGAGAACTAAATGCCAAACGCCCAACCAAACGAAGACTCTGAGACAAAACATTACATTTACCAAACTTCTTGAACTTATTGTTGGAAATCGTACTTGTTTCAGTAGATTTTTTTGGCTTAATAAAATAAATTTGGATTGGAACTGATGTGTGATCCAAAAAACTCTAAAATTGGCATAAAAATTGAGATGAAGATTCAGAATTTCAATACGGTTTTGAATTTCAATTAAGAACGGAAAACAGTAAAATGGGAAAACAGTTTATTTAATTTTTCCGTTTTAGTGTGAAACAAAAAACAGATTTCGACCTCTATTTCCAATATTTAATTTAAAGTTTATTTCAAATCACACCAATTTAAAAAAAACTCGGTGCCTATTTAATTTAGATTTTTTTTCTCTTTTAGCAGCAGAACTTCCGGGTCAAATAAACCAGTTTGAATGTTTTTTTTTTTTTTTTCCTGAGGAGGGTGGGTTTTTGAACGTGATTTGGCGGAAATCAATAAATTAATTCTGGCAACACTGGATACAGACGACACACATATTTTGTCCTCAAAGAGCTGTTTATACAAGATCTGTACTGGGGAAAGACATTTTGTCCAAATACATGGAAAGAGATGGTTACAGCTACTCAATCATTCTTGAATTCTGTACGTTTAAGTTCTGAATTCCCCTCATTTGTCAAGTTCCTGTTTTTGCCCGTCCTGTAGACCTGAAACTGCTGCCTCTGCGATAGGTTCTTGAATGTTTAATTGTTTGTTCTTGTCCCGTGTGTTCAGTCTCGTAACTGGGAGGTGATGGACGACATGCAGCACGTGGACATGATCGCCGGATCCTCCATGGACCTGAGCATCCCGGGAATCTGTGAGGGCTTCCTGATGAAGAGGAGGAAGTACCCGCTCAAGGGCTGGCACAAGGTAATCAACGACCAATGACCAACGACCTACGACCGCAGACCTACGACCAAGGACCAACAACCGCTGACCAAGGACCAACGACCGCCGACCTACGACCGCCGACCTACGACCAAGGACCAACAACTGCTGACCAAGGACCAACAACTGCTGACCAACGACCAAGGACCAACAACCGCTGACCAACGACTGCTGACCAACGACCAAGGACCAACAACTGCCGACCTACGACCAAGGACCAACGACCGCCGACCAACAACCGCTGACCAACGACCAACGACCGCTGACCTACGACCGCCAACCTATGACCAAGGACCAACAACCGCCGACCAACGACCTGCTGACCTAACGACCGCCGACCAACGACTGCTGACCAACGACCCGCCGACCAAGGACCAACAACCGCTGACCAAGGACCAACAACCGCTGACCAAGGACCAACGACCGCCGACCTACGACCTACGACCAAGGACCAACAACCGCCGACCACGCCGGACCAACGACCGCGGACCAACGACCGCGGACCAACGACCGCGGACCAACGACCGCTGAACGACCGCGGACCACGACGCGGACCTACGACCGCGGACCAACGACCGCGACCACGACCCGCGGACCTACGACCGCGGACCAACGACCCGAACGACCGCCGACGACCGCCGACCGCGACCAACGACGCCGACCAACGACCGCCGACCAACGACCGCCGACCAACGACCAAGGACCAACAACTGCTGACCAAGGACCAACAACCGCCGACCAAGGACCAACAACCGCCGACCTACGACTGCTGACCTACGACCGCGGACCAAGGACCAACAAGCGCCGACCTACGACCGCCGACCAACGACCCGACCTACGACCGCCGACCTACGACCAAGGACCTACGACCGCCGACCAACGACCAACAACCACTGACCAACGACCGCCGACCTACGACCAAGGACCAACGACCGCCGACCAACGACCAAGGACCAACGACCGCTGACCAACGACCAAACAACCGCTGACCGACTACTGACCAAGGACCAACAACTGCCGACCAAGGACCAACAACCGCTGACCGACTACTGACCAAGGACCACTGACCACCGACCACTGACCTACGACCAATTACCAACTACACCACCGACCAGCTGCACCAACATCTGCCCCGCTACACTTCTTTTAGTTTAGCTCAGTCTTGTTAACAAATGTACACTGTACTTTTACAATCCGTGTATCATTTGTTCGTTTGTTTTTCAAAATAAAACCAAAAATATGAAAAGGAATAAACAACAATTTTCTTCATTATTTGTCTCCAAAACCAAAATGACAAAACTGATGATGATTCGTCTTTTCAGTTTTTGATTTAGTGTTTAAATAAAAAACTGGAAAAAACGGATAACGGCCAGATCCCGTTTACGTGACTTAAACTGCGATGCCAGACTTCTGCACCACAAAACTGACTGAACCAGGACTGAACCAGGACTGAACCAGGACTGAACCAGGACTGAACCAGGACTGAACCATTTTTAGTCCTGGTCTGGTCGCAATCTCAGTCCCGGTCTCAGTCCCGGTCTCAGTCCCGGTCCTGGTCAGTTCAGTCAGTTTTGTGGTGCAAAAATCGGGCATCGCAGTTTAAGTTGTGGAAATGGGAAACGTCTTATCTTTTTTTTTCATTTTAGTTTTGGAGACAAATAATGAAGAAAATTGTTGTTTTTTTTCATTTTCTTATTTTTGGTTTTATGTTGAAAAACAAATGAACGAATGACACACAGATTGTTGCAATTGAACCTTTTTATCTCTTTTCTTTACGCGATCTTTTCTCTTTCAATCTCAGTCAGTGTCCGTAAAATAGAATCATTTATGGATTTCTTAATTTGCAAATCAGCAGACGTCCCCAGGTTTTACTTATCTCCTGCAAATCTGGCTTTAGACTTTGTTTGGATCAGACTAATGCTTTGAAATCCAAAAATAATGAGGTGTTTTTTTGACTATTTTGACCTTCTTCGGTAACGATCATCATCTGAATCAAATGTGTGTTTTCAGAGATACTTCCTGTTGGAGAAAGGCAACCTGAAATACTCAAAGACGCAGCAGGACGTGAGTAAAAACACGTATTTACATTGTCGAGCTGGAGTTTGACGGTGTGTATTGAACTTGTACTTGTACTTGTGTTCAGATCATGAGGGGGAAGCTTCACGGAGCTCTGGACGTCAGCCTCGCCGTCATGTCCGTCAACAAGAAGTCCAAACGCATCGACCTGGACGCAGGAGACAACATCTACCACCTCAAGGTACCTCAAGTCTTCCACGCCAGAGAGTTTTTTTTTTTTAACAACACAATGACTTCAGTTTCATTACATCGTAGGATCAGAACATCGAACAGGAGGAGGAGGGTTTGATTGAGTTAATTTGATACTTTTACCTCACAAGTTAGGTTTTATTTTTCTATTTCCATGGAACTGACAACATACCGTATTTTCTGGACTGTAAATTGCTCCGGAGAACAAGTCGCACCAGCCAAAAAAATGCGTAATGAAGAAGAAAAAACATAAGTCGCACTTTTCGGAGGAATTGTATTTTATAAAATCTGAGACAAAGAACTGACATTTCACGTTCCTCTTGGTATCACGTCTGAGCAACTCGGCCTCGACCTCCGGAGGTAAACGGGCAGTGTCGGGGAGTAACAGATTACATGTACCGGAGTAACGTAATCAGAGTACAAATGATGAGTAACTGTATTCGGTTACAGTTACTGTTTCAGTGAGTGGTAATTGGATTACAGTTACTTTGTTGAAAAAAAGGGATTACACGACGGGATTTTCCTGTTTTCACATTTTGGGCTATACCCCCCCAGTAATTCCACTCATTCCCGGAAACTAAACCAGGTCTAAACCAGGTCTAAACCAGGTCTAAACCAGGTCTAAACCAGGTCTAAACCAGGTCTAAACCAGGTCTAAACCCAGGTCTAAACCAGGTCTAAACCCAGGTCTAAACCAGGGCTAAAACCAGGGCTAAAACCAGGGCTAAAACCAGGGCTAAAACAGGGCTAAACCAGGTCTAAACCAGGTCTAAACCAGGTCTAAACCAGGTCTAAACCAGGGCTAAACCAGGGCTAAAACCAGGGCTAAAACCAGGGCTAAAACCAGGGCTAAACAGGGCTACAACCAGGGCTAAACTAGGTCTAAACTAGGTCTAAACTAGGTCTAAACTAGGTCTAAACCCAGGTCTAAACCAGGTCTAAACCCAGGTCTTAAACCAGGTCTAAACCCAGGTCTAAACCAGGGCTAAAACCAGGGCTAAACCAGGGCTAAACCAGGTCTAAACCAAGGCTACAGCAGGACTACAAGCAGGTCTAAACTAGATCTAAACCGGGTCTAAAACCGGGTCTAAAACTGGGACTAAACCGGGACTAAAAGCGGGTTTAAACTAGATCTAAACTAGGTCTAAAACCAGGACTAAACCAGGACTAAATCCTGCTGTGTGGACGTGTTTCTTCTTCTTCTATCAATAATATTTTTAATTTGGTTCATTAAAATCTGGACTTTTTATTTTCTTTTATCAGACAAAACTTCTTACGTGAAGATTTCCTCGTCTTTGTTTCTCTACAGCAAATCAAGTAATCCAAAGTAATCAGATTACATTACTCACTTTAAGTAATTTAATGGATTATGTTACAAACTACATTTTGGGGCATGTAATCTGTAATCTGTAGGGGATTACATTTTAAAAGTCACCTTCCCAACACTGTAAACAGAGCTCCGCTTCCAGCATCAGTTCCAGTTAGAATTATTCTGGTCTTTCTGAATCCCGACAGGATGGTTTCGGTGTCACTGAAGTCCAGGCTTTGTCCGTCCAGTGACTTCAGGAAAGTTTCACAAGTGTCACAAGTTTCTCTCTCACTCCAAACTTTCTTTCTTTCCGCTGCTTGATTTCCGTTTTCAGCTGCAAATTTCACGACTTGCAGTTTGTAAATCTGCAGAATCTTGATTTTGTTTTGGGGACGTTTGTGTTCGGTCTTCTCAGTCTTTGTCTTTTTTAAGTAACGGTGCGATCGACTGACGTGATACAGACGGGACAGAGGCTCTTTCTGCAGGAGACAGGCGCAGTAGAGCCAAGTGACAGTGGTGCAGGAGGAACAGGAGCAGCAGAAACTCACACACAAGACTAGAACCTCTCCACGCTTCACTCAAACATTTTAATATACAAGTCGCACCGGAGCATAAGTCACATGACACTTATAATTCGAAAAATACAGTTTGTTTATTTTTACAACTCGGACCCTCTTGTATTCATAAATCTTTACCACATGCGATCGATCTCCCACTGATGATTAGAAAAAAAATGAAAATCTGCCACTTTAAGAAACCGTTTTTTTGTTGTTTTTTTTTGCCAGTCGGGTTCTAATCTCCGGTGTAACTTCTCGCTCGTTTTCTCGCGCAGGCCAAGAGCAACGACGTCTTCTACATCTGGCTGACCAAGCTCTGCGCTCACCGGATCTTCAAGAAGAACGAGGCCATGAGCGTGCACCGGGGCGTCCTCCACGCTCTGTCCCTGGGCCAGAGCTCCCTGCCCCCCATGTCCGGCCTCGCCCAGCCCCGACGCTCCACGGTAACTCAACACGACTTCAATTAAGAAAGTTTGATCGTGATTTGAGTAAATTTCACTTGACAAGTAAAACAATCTGCCAGTGGAACAAGACTTTTTGTATTTAAAATATGAAAATACATCTGGCTACACTTCAAATAAGAAAAACAACAACTTTTTGACACTTAAAACACTTAAAATAAGAAACAAAATCTAATGTCGCTTGAATTAAGACAAACACACTTATTCCATTGACAGATAATTTTACTCGTCAAGTTGAATTGACTCAAATAAAGTCAAATGTTCTTAATTTGTCATTTTAACTTGCCTAGGTATTTTTTTTTCCAGTGTATCTGAATGTGCTGAAATGTGCAATAGAATTTGAGACTTTAAGACTTGAGAATTTAAATCGTTATATCTTTTTATGATTTAAATAATTGAACAAAAACAAAACAAAAATGGCATCATGACATTAAATACAGAGTAATAAACAAGCAAAAACAGTGAGAATTTGAATTAAAGATGTTTTATATCGATAACAGTGACAAAATGGCAAAAATAAGAATACACAATTTGTGATTTTATTTGTAAATATTCAATACTTAAAAGTGTTCAGTCACTATATGCTTAAATGTATCTCAGTTTACAATATGTATTTGATTTTCAGACTAAAAAAATCGCTTGTTTTTGATTCTCAGATTAAAAGAATCGCTCGTGTTTTTGACTCTGATTAAAAGAATCGCTCGTGTTTTTGACTCTGATTAAAAGAATCGCTCGTGTTTTTGACTCTGACTAAAAGAATCGCTCGTGTTTTTGACTCTGATCGCTCGTGTTTTTGACTCTGATTAAAAGAATCGCTCGTGTTTTTGACTCTGATTAAAAGAATCGCTCGTGTTTTTGACTCTGATTAAAATTCGCACTCTCGCACTCTGACAAAACGCTCGTGACTCTGATCGCTCGTGTTTTGACTCTGACTGGACTCTGGGTCCTCAAAAAAGAATCGCTCGTGTTTTTACTCAAAAAGAATCATTTCTAGTTTTTAATTTAAATTGCTCAGATCTTTGCCGTAATGTGTTCAGATTTTTTTTGACTCTGATGCTTACTCTGATTGTGTCCGTTTGTCTCCAGCCTCCGCACTACGCCAGCTCAGCGTCCGTGTACCAGGCGGAGATGAGCAGCCCGGCCCCCAGAGCCGCTCCTCACCCCGGGGTCAACAACAAAGTGTCCGCCTGGCTCCAGCAGACGCAGGACATCGACGCCACCTCCAACGGTACAAACACACACACAGTGTTCGAGTTACACTATTCTAAAACAGATCATTGTTGTATTTCTGTATTTTGTTTTTAATCTGCTCCTCGTGTTGTTCCAGAGCTGGCTCGGTGTCAGGCCGAGCTCACGGAGATGGCTCAGCTGATCCAGAGGCTGCACTGGCTGGAGGGAGGACTGCCCATCACCAGCACCGACCTGGAGCTCAGGATCAGCATGCAGGTACAAACACACACACACACACACAAAGGTCTCTACATTAATCCACCTCATCTCACTGTAACGTGTCCATGTGCGTCGTCCTACAGAACTTGACTCTGGAGAAGCCCAAGAAGAAGATGAGCAAAGGCTTCGGTCACTCCAGGACACTGTCACGAGTCGAGGCCATGGGGGAGATGGTACATTCCGTTCTGTTCAAATTACATCAGAAATGTTTTGTTTCCACGTCTCCATCACTTGAATGACACGACAGGAAACATTTATGATGAGTTAATTGATCCAGTGGCCAAACAACGGTGGAATATTAATAATTCACGTTTATAGGTTATAGTTGCTCTAGTTTGTGAGCAACTTCAGGAAATGTGACAGTCTGAATAATTAAGTTTATGTTAATGTTGTTGACATTAGGGGTGAACGATCGTTTAGACCAGTGGTGTCAAACTCAAATTCACAGAGGCCAAAATTTAAAACTGGGACTAAGTTGTGGGCCAAACTAAATATTTATTGAAAAATTTCACCAACATCTGCTATTTTCTCTTATTTCAAGATATGTAATGTTAAACCTTTTCTTATTCAAATAAATGTTTAATAATAGTTTTGTTTGAACACTGAATCCAGAACAAGCGGAATATAAAATAATAACAACATTTTAAATAAATAATATCTCTCTAGTTCCATCTGTAGCCGGTGGGCAGCTCTAATACATGTTTGATATGATCTCGCAGGCCAAATATAATTATATCACAGGCCAAATTTTGCCTTAATTTGACATGTCTGCACTAGGACAAACAATCCTAAATTCTCATTCGGAAACTCGGCTGAGTAACCGAGGCTTGTATGTAAAAATGTACAAACGTTATAGGAGTGCACTGTAAAATCTGTATTGTTGAATCCAAGTCTTGAGTGTAAATTTTGCCTCTGTGTGTGTTTGTTGTGTTTGTTTGTTGTTTGTGGTGTGTGTGCAGTATCCCACAGGCACTCTGGGCAGCAGTAACAGCGCTCTGGGTGCCTCTGTGCCCTCTCTCCCGGGGTATCTCTACTCCCAACTGTCCAAGCCCCAGGTCAGCTCTCCAGAGGCCCAGAAACTGCACACCGAGATCTGCGCCGCATCTCAGAGAGGTACACACACACACACACACACACACACACACACACACACACACACAATCCGTGTATCATTCGTTCATTCGTTTTTCAATATAAAACTAAAAATAAGAAAACGAAAAAACAACAGTTTTCTTCGTTATTTGTCTCCAAAACCAAAATGAAAAAACTGATAACGATTCGTTTTTTCAGTTTTCGATTTTGTGTTTAAATGAAGAATGGAAAAAACAGATAACGGCCGTTTCCCGTTTACGTGACTTCCGTGACTGCGATACCGAACTTTTGCACCGGGTACGGACTGAACTAGGACTGATCCAGGTCCGAGACCAGAGCGGGACTGAGACCGGGACCAGAGCGGGACTGAGACCGGGACCAGGGCGGGACTGAGACCGGACCAGGGCGGGACTGAGACCGGGACCAGGGCGGGACTGAGACCGGGACCAGGGCGGGACTGAGACGGGACGGGCGGACTAGGGCTAGGGCGGGACCAGGGCGGGACCAGGGCGGACTCCGAGCTTTGACTCCGAGCCTCCACGGGGTCCGAGCCTCAGCTTCGAGCTCCGGCCCTGCTGTGGGCTCTGAGCCTCAGGTCTGGTCCCGCTCTGGTCCCGGTCTGGTCCCGGTCTCAGTCCCGCTTTCAGTCCCGCTCTGGTCCCGCTCTGGTCCCGCTCTGGTCCCGCTCTGGTCCCGCTCTGGTCCGGTCTGGTCCCGGTCTGGTCCCGGTCTCAGTCCCGCTCTGGTCTCGGACCTGGATCAGTCCCGGTTCAGTCCGTATGCGGTGCAAAAGTCCGGCATCGCAGTCACTGTAGTCACGTAAACGGGAAACGACCGTTATCCGTTTTTTCCATTCTTCATTTAAACACAAAATCGAAAACTGAAAAAAACAAATCGTTATCCGTTTTTTCATTTTGGTTTTGGAGACAAATAACGAAGAAAACTGTTGTTTTTTCGTTTTCTTATTTTTGGTTTTATATTGAAAAACGAATGAACGAATGATACACGGATTACACACGAACACACACGAACACGTTGGCTTTTCCAGGCTTTTAGATATTACAGACTTCCATTCATTTCCCTCAGACTGATCCAGACTTCAACCTAAGGAGTAACTGATTTTAAACCATGTTTTTGATCTTATAATTGTTACATCATGGGTTCCAGATCTTTTGCCCTTTAAGTTATACACGTGCAGTTCTTAGTCCTCGCACTGTAATGACAAACACTGCGAGAAGTTGGCAATTTAGCAACGATGCCCTTCCTGGCAAAAATCCAATGACAATAACAGGACCCGCGTAAAGAATGTCGGGTGAACTGTTTTCAAACGAAACAGAAAACGCACACCAAAGTTCTTGTAGAGGCGCAAATACAAGGTTTGAAAGTGGAAAAAAAAAATGAATAGCACATTCAGACGACCAATGTCCAAAAGTGTTTATTTTTAATTTTTAAATTACGGCAAAGGAGAAATTCACTAAGTCAACTGGACAAACGTTTGTTGAGGTTGAAAACATTTCGCAGATCTTCCAAGCTGCTTCTTCCGCTGTGGTCAGACGCTGGCGGAAACGTCCTCGTATCTGCCTGAAGGGAAGAGCCGACCACACTGAAACTAACACACTACTTGTTTATAGTTTCTGTTTGTAACTCGGCCTATTCATGTTTCCTGAGTGAGGGATTTATTAGCAGAATCATTCCGGCCCAAAATGAGGGTTTTCACACCTCTGGCCCTGACGTGGCTCCCCCTCTTGTTCTCATTGTTTTAGATTTGAGGATGGAGTTGTAACTAGGAGATGGATTTATTTATGTTTATTAAGGACGTCACAATCGCATTAGACAAGCCAGATGCATTGCTTTGAGTGTTTTAGCACAAGTGCAAGTTTTCAACACCTGTCCATATAAAAATATAAACTACACGCATAAAAACAGAGAATACAAGACACATAAATTACATACAGATAAAATATATACAGTGCATTTTCAGTGGATGCAGTTTTGATTGGAAACATACTGTCAGGGAATTCTACCCTAAGACATCAGATTACATTAAATAAAGACACACCAGAAAGAGACGGTTAAAATTTATACTTGCGCAAGGAGAGTCGTGCCCACTGTCTGTCAGCTCCCTGACCGACTCTGCTCAACAACTCTCCAAGTCACACTTTTATTGAAAATCATGTCACAGATAAGCAACACTTGATGACATACATTTCACATGTTATCTTATAACTAACAATCGTCAACTGAACCACCCTCCCATTTCACATTTGATTACATATCCCAAAGATAGACAATTTAGTAGTTCCCCAAGGCCGTTCAGTTTTAACATAAGATGGGACAAACCCAGAATTGTTGGCGCCCATAGTAGATTAGCTTAATCTGTCAGTTGACATGTCATTCATATCTGCTGCTGGTATCATGTCCTGTACTTCCTGAACCAAAACAGACCCAAAGCAATGTTGATTACACCATGATTAATATTTAAATGATTCACCCTTTAAATGATTAATACTTTAGTGAAAGAATTACATATATAAATGAGTAACACTTTAATGAGACTTTAATCAAAGAAATACATTTATATCATAGAATTCTCTAACACATACAGTAATTTTAATTTCCTTTTAAATTGGTTGTGGTTGGTTTCCAATTTTAAATGAGCTGGTGAACCGTTCCACAGACTGGCCCCTTTAAAAGAGAAGGAGGACTGACCAAGAGTCGTCCTGTACATAGGAACAACACAATCACCACGAGTAGCGCCTCTTGTGTTCGCTCTGTGTGAACATTTTATGGTCCTGGCAAATTCTGAGTGTAATGGTGTATCGCGGTTAAGACACTTAAAAAAATAATTTAAGATTATTAAAATTGATAAAATTTTCAAAGTTAAAAAGCTGATGTTTCTTTGTAATTTCACAGTGGTGCCAGTGTTTGGGCTTTTTGTCAAGGATCTTAAGGGTCAGTTTGTAAAATGAACAAAGTGGTTTCAGTGTAGTTGAGGAGCCTGGGACCATGAGGCGATACAATAAGACAGATGAGAGAAGATCATCGCGTTCATGAATAGTTTAGAAGTGTGGAGCGATAGATCTTTACGTATGAAACGAAAGCAACTGAGACTAGTCTTAATCTTCTTCACCAAGTATTTTGTGACGTCTCAGTCCTCCATTTCTGTTCAAGGGAAGGATTGTCTTTCCTAACAAAAATAGCTTCTTTAACTCTTCTCTCGAACCAGTTCTTTTCTCTGGCTCAGATCTGCAGCTCACTGTCCTCAAAGTCCCGAGGCTTTTGGGTGGAGATGTACAGCAGACTGAGGTCCAGTATTGCTCTCTCGTCTGTGTTGGTACATCGTCTTGTAAAGTGGCTGTTTCGAAACGTTTTCAACCTAAATAAACAAATTTCTCCTTTTGCCATCGATTCTACCTTGACAACTGAGGGATTCCACACACATTTTTAAATTACGTTTCGGCAAAAAGCTTTCATTGGATCATTTTTCTTGCTTTGGACCACAGTTTGTGATATGGATGAACTGTCTCGCCAAGGGACATGATTTACTTGGGCAAGATTCAAACAGACAACCTCTGGTTCCTAAACGAATGTGTCATATCCTCTTACTCTTCTGTTGTGATGAGTTGTGTGTGTTTTGTGTGTGTGTGTGTGTGTGTGTGTTGCAGTGCACGCGTCTCTGCGCTCCGTCCACGAGGTCCTGACCCTGGAGAGAGAGCGGCTCAGACAGGCCTGGACCGGACCGGACCTCAGGCAGAACACGTCCCACCAGCTCGCCACACTCTGCAGTACTCTCTCCGAGGTAATACTACTACTGCAAATACTCTGTTTATACACACTCTGCAGTACTCTCTCTGAGGTAATACTACTACTGCAAATACTCTACTGTTTATACACACTCTGCAGTACTCTCTCCGAGGTAATACTACTACTGCAAATACTCTGTTTATACACACTCTGCAGTACTCTCTCCGAGGTAATACTACTACTGCAAATACTCTGTTTATACACACTCTGCAGTACTCTCTCCGAGGTAATACTACTACTGCAAATACTCTACTGTTTATACACGCTCTGTAGTACTCTCTCCGAGGTAATACTACTACTGCAAATACTCTGTTTATACACACTCTGCAGTACTCTCTCCGAGGTAATACTACTACTGCAAATACTCTCTGTTTATACACACTCTGCAGTACTCTCTCCGAGGTAATACTACTACTGCAAATACTCTGCTGTTTATACACGCTCTGTAGTACTCTCTCCGAGGTAATACTACTACTGCAAATACTCTGTTTATACACACTCTGCAGTACTCTCTCCGAGGTAATACTACTACTGCAAATACTCTGTTTATACACACTCTGCAGTACTCTCTCCGAGGTAATACTACTACTGCAAATACTCTACTGTTTATACACGCTCTGCAGTACTCTCTCTGAGGTAATACTACTACTGCAAATACTCTACTGTTTATACACACTCTGCAGTACTCTCTCCGAGGTAATACTACTACTGCAAATACTCTACTGTTTATACACGCTCTGCAGTACTCTCTCTGAGGTAATACTACTACTGCAAATACTCTACTGTTTATACACACTCTGCAGTACTCTCTCCGAGGTAATACTACTACTGCAAATACTCTACTGTTTATACACACTCTGCAGTACTCTCTCCGAGGTAATACTACTACTGCAAATACTCTGTTTATACACGCTCTGCAGTACTCTCTCCGAGGTAATACTACTACTGCAAATACTCTGTTTATACACGCTCTGCAGTACTCTCTCCGAGGTAATACTACTACTGCAAATACTCTGTTTATACACACTCTGTAGTACTCTCTCCGAGGTAATACTACTACTGCAAATACTCTACTGTTTATACACACTCTGCAGTACTCTCTCCGAGGTAATACTACTACTGCAAATACTCTACTGTTTATACACACTCTGCAGTACTCTCTCCGAGGTAATACTACTACTGCAAATACTCTACTGTTTATACACACTCTGCAGTACTCTCTCCGAGGTAATACTACTACTGCAAATACTCTACTGTTTATACACGCTCTGCAGTACTCTCTCCGAGGTAATACTACTACTGCAAATACTCTACTGTTTATACACGCTCTGCAGTACTCTCTCCGAGGTAATACTACTACTGCAAATACTCTACTGTTTATACACGCTCTGCAGTACTCTCTCCGAGGTAATACTACTACTGCAAATACTGTTTATACACGCTCTGCAGTACTCTCTCCGAGGTAATACTACTATTGCAATACTGTTTATATACGCTCTGCAGTACTCTCTCGAGGTAATACTACTACTGCACTACTCCACTGTTTATACACCTCTCTCTCCGAGGTAATACTACTACTGCAAATACTCTACTGTTTATACACGCTCTGCAGTACTCTCTCCGAGGTAATACTACTACTGCAAATACTGTTTATACACGCTCTGCAGTACTCTCTCTGAGGTAATACTACTACTGCAAATACTGTTTATACACGCTCTGCAGTACTCTCTCCGAGGTAATACTACTACTGCAAATACTGTTTATATATGCTCTGCAGTACTCTCTCTCCGAGGTAATACTACTACTGCAAATACTCTGTTTATACACACTTTGTAGTACTCTCTCTGAGGTAATACTACTACTGCAAATACTCTACTGTTTACATACACTCCGCAGCTCGCTCTGTTAGGTGCTACTACTACTACGGACTTTGAGCCACCCTGTATGAGGCACTACTAGTACTACTACTACTACACAAAGTTCCCTGATGTTGGATGTTCATATTCACAGAAGGTTTAAATAGGAGCTAAAGGACACGACACTCAGACTGACGTCTTCACACAGATCAGGATTAGAGTGACATGGTTCTGCAAAAAAGCTTGGCCCAACATTTAAGATGTAAACACTTAAATCTCTCGAAAATGACTTAAAAGTAGTGAAATTATTTTTCCATGCAACAACATCATTTTACTTGACAAGTTCTCTTAAAATAAACGACCTCTAGACTAGAATGAAGCATCTCAGAACTAATATCTAAACCAGGACTAAACCGGTTTAGTGATTTACTGTTTTTTTTATAACAAAGTATAGTTAATATTATGCAGATCTGAGTGAAGCATTTTGGCCTCCACACTTAAAAATATAAACACTTCACTTATAAACACTTCTTAAACACCTAAAAAGTTGTGAAATTATGCAGCAAAATAATTTTACTTGACAAGTTCTCTTAAAATAAACAACCTCTAGACGGGAATGAAGCATCTCAGAACTAGTACGTCGATAATAAATCTGAAAACGAGATGAAGAACCTGATATAAGTTGTAAATCTTGTCCCGTTCAGAGAAATGCAGTGCAGAGTTAATGTTTGTTTGCGAGAGAGTGACGGGCCCGGTTTTTTTTTCTGCACAAAAGCCGCTCCCTGAGAGAGCAGTGAAACCCGGAGCAGGTTGGGTTTGTTTGTGGACAGGACCAGACACAACCTGCTTCCTCCTGTTTCCACGACAACCTCCAAACAACGACACCGCAGACAGACCAACAGACCGACTGACGGGACTTTACACGTTTCACCGATTCTCAGATTTGCGGAGGGAGATTGTTCTTTTAACTGTTCCCGGCAGAGACAGGTGCACAGGAACAGCACCCGTCTGAGCTCCTGAGGCAGAGATTAGAGATTCAGACGGAGCAGGTTTCAAACTGGTTTGAGGCTCCTCAGCTGATACAAAGTCTTGTGACTAAAACACAAAGGAGTCGAGCTCAAGATACAGTAAATCTAAAATGAGAAACGATTGTGGCAGCACCAACTAAAACAATATTTATTTTACTCATATCGTACAGAACTCACGTGGATATGTATTGATTATTTCACCTTAAAATAATCTAGTTGCCAAACTTTTTGACTCGTGGGCCACAAAGGGTTCTAAAATTTGACAGAAGGGCCAGACCAATCCACCTTGTAAGAGAAAAAATAACATGGGATATGTAGAAAACAGAGCCCATGTTATTAAAATATCCCCAAATTACAAAGCATTAGAACAAAATATCTGCATTTCAAGGCCTCTACAGTATTTACTATTTATCGAAATGACTTTTAAAAGACTGAAAATTATTATTATTATTCAAGATCAGCCAGCCGGATTAGAGATTAAAGGGCCATAGTTTGCCCACCCCTGATCTAGTTCATTTTAAATATTTATAGTTTTTCCTCACTTACCTGATGTGTTTTGAAGGCAAGTTTATTTGTAAAGCACAATTCGTACACAAAGTAATTCAAAATGCTTTACAGAATAAGAAATACATTAAAATAACAATGCAAACAAATCAAAAGAGACATCGGTAACACTTTATAATAAGTACACCTTATTTAGCCTTAATAAAGCGTGAACAAAGGCTTAATTAATAATGAACAAAGACTTAATAATGATTCACGCTTAGTAACTACTTACTACCTTAATTAGCACTTGCACTTAATTTGCCTGTGCTGTAAATATTTACTCATAATTATTTCATTCTTAATTACTCATGAACTAACCATTTAAGTGTTTATTAATCATTAGTAAAGTATGAGAGAATGATTTACTAATAATGCAATGATAATTCAGGCAGCTGTTATCTGTTAGTTCAGTCTTTCTGAGAGCTTTTCTAAAGTGAAGACAAATTATGCTTTATTAAACATTTACTAAGCGTGAATCATTATTAATTAAGTCTTTGTTCACTATTAATGAAGTCTTTATTCATGCTTTATTAAGGCTAAGTAAGGTGTAGTTATTATAAAGTGTTACCGAGACATTAAATGAGAGAGAAGAGAGCAGAATGGAAACCTTTCAGTCAGACGCAGCTGAACAGAACCATTTCGAGTCTGGATTTAAACAAAGTCAGAGTCTGTCTCACATGTTCAGACTGTTTCAGGTTTTAGTTGCGTGAATCTGAAACTCTGACTCTGGGCACCAGCAGGAGGCCCCCGTCCCTGAACATCCTAATTCTTCACCGCAATGAGTTTTTAAAAGCACTTTTTTAACACTCTAAGACCAGAGCGGAGTTTACGTTTATCATCATAATTCGATACCGACAGCACAGAGCTTCTTTTACAACACATCTGTACTGAGCCAAGACGCATTTGGTTTAACTGCATGAAAATAAGCGGGATACAGGCCCTTTAATCGGCTCTATTCACGCTTACGTCACAAACCGGGAAGACGTTTGGGAGCATGCGATGACAACTTCCTTTGGGCTCTGTTCACGGTAGTAAGTCTAACAAAATCTTTAGAAATTATCCCAGTTTTCTACATCTCCATGTCATTGCAGCGTTCCGTTATGTTCGGATAATCAACAATTCCAACCATAGCTCAGTTTTTATCATTTTCCTGCTTACATTCAATTCCGAGCGCACTGGGTTCATGAGATTTAAAGAGATGAGGGCCACAAATTCCAGATGATTCCAAACAGAAGGTCACATTTACTTCAGTGGCTTTGATCGCAGTCGGTCGGAAGTTGTCGTCGCGTGTTTCCAAACGTCTTCCCGGTTTCGTGACGTGAGCGTGAACAGAGTTTGTTGCGCAACACGTTTAACACTGTGTGAGGACTAACCGTGGAAGTGGGTTTGTGTCCGTGCATGGCTTCAGTGGGCTTTTGTTTTGGACTAGAGGACGGCCGCTGTTGCCCCTGTGCATGTTTTGGAGAGTATTTATTGTCCCAGTGTCCCTGTCTGTCCCTGTCTGTCCCTGTCTGTCCCTGTCTGTCCCTGTCCCTGCATGTGCTTCGTGCGCTGACCCGTGTGTGTTGCTGTGTGTTTAGTTTGACATTCAGTCGCGCCTGACCAAAGTCCACTCGTTCTCCCTGTCCTCTGACTCCTCGGACGAATCCTTCTGTACCGTCCAGCAGGTGTGTACTGTGGGGAGGAGCCTGCGCCTGTCACTCACCTGTCACTCACCTGTCAGTCTGGGGTTGTGCACTAACAGGAGCAGGGCGAGGGGTGAAGCGGTGCAGGGCCTCGCCGGACGCAGGGCTGCACATCACACGAGCAGATCCACTCACGGTCTGATGGACGTGGAGGTGTTTCCCAACCGGGGGTGTAGGGACCACTGACCCTTTCATTTAATGATTAACTGGGGATTCATTTGGGATTGAGTTCAGACCCTTTTGTTTGTGTTTTTTTTTTCCCTTAAAGATGCATTATGTAACTTTTCAGGTGGAGGGTTCGTCACCTGCTTGTCTCAGTTCAGATGTTTTTATTTTATTATTATTATTATTATTGTCTGGAATATTCCAGACTGTCTCCATCAGACCTGGGATTGTCCAGAGTCTGGGACACATCGGGCCCTTTGGTCGACTCTGACCGGCCCCTTTAAACTCATCAAACATAAATATATTTTATAATTTTACCTCCTGCCTGGACTAAAGCTGCATTACTTTTATTATTTTATTTTAGAGGTGTTTTTTTTTTTAAATGACATATTTTATAAGGCAACTGAACTAAACCAGGACTAAACCAGGACTAAACCAGGTCTAAACCAGGTCTAAACCAGGTCTAAACCATAAACCAGGTCTAAACCAGGTCTAAACCAGGTCTAAACCAGGACTAAACCAGGTCTAAACCAGGACTAAACCAGGTCTAAACCAGGACTAAACCAGGTCTAAACCAGGTCTAAACCAGGTCTAAACCAGGACTAAACCAGGACTAAACCAGGTCTAAACCAGGTCTAAACCAGGACTAAACCAGGTCTAAACCAGGTCTAAACCAGGTCTAAACCAGGTCTAAACCAGGTCTAAACCAGGTCTAAACCAGGTCTAAACATGGACTAAATGTGTTTAGTGGTTTACTTTTTTATTTACGAAATAAAATTCATATTCTGCAGAATTGAGTGAAGCCTTTTGTCCTCCACGATATTTTCTGTTTCTTTGGCCCGAGGCCCCGTGGTCCTTATCTCCACGGAGACGAGCAGGTGACCGCCGAGCTGCAGGTCAGATCTGTGGAAGGGCGCAGCAAGTTTTGAGCCACAAAAACAGCCGACCCTCCACCAGAAAAGTTTCACAGTGCATCTTTAAATTTCACTAATGACTAATAACCTCCATCACTACAGCCTGTATTTATTTACACACAATATCTCGGTGAAAGTATTTATGGTGAAATTCAATACTACACAAAAAAATAATAAAAATTTGAGTTAAAGTAAATAATCAGTATATGATATAAGAGGTTGGGAACCACTGACCTGGTGTGTGCAGCTCTGTGTCTGTCTGTGGACGAAGTCTGGAGACGCCTGAATACTTTTCCACTCACAGTTTTTGTGTTACGCCCCCTGTTGTCCAGACGCCGTCCCTGCACAGCCAGCGCCCGCCCTCCGTGGCCGAGTCGCTGGCCGAATATTACGACGCCAGCGAGGTGATCATCTGCGAGAGCTCGTCCGAGGCCGAGCAGTCGGACGAGAGCGGACTGAGCGACATCACCACCACCAGCACGTCCGAGCCCGAGGAGGGACACTGTACGTACACACCCTGAAATACTCACAAAAGTTTGTTTTTTTTAAAGCAGCAAGTCAACCCAAAAAAAAAAAACTCGGCCTATACTAGAGATTTAACGCAGCTAAAAGGCAGAGCTAGAAAAAGTACTGAAAAATTATAATTAAAGGTTGTATAGAGGATTTTTTTAAGGAAGAAGAAAATCCAGCAACAGTCCTTTTTCAAATGTAGTGCACCACCTTCCTCCTCCTCAGGTCCCTCTAGAAATAATTTAGAGACCGACACCTCAGTTTTTAGACCCTTTGTCTGCTTCAGTCGCGCAGTCACTGAAAGGAATCTCCAAGAATCACCTCAGTTTGTCTTCGCTCCTTTTCTCCTCCTCTTCTTCTTTCAGCGACATCAAAAACCGACTTTCTTTTGCGGCGAACTGGTCGTGGATTCTCGTCCGACATCGCAACAAACTTTATGCGAACTGCGAGAGAGCCACAATTAGAAAAAGCCTCTAAGAACCGCTGCATAGTTACCTTAGAAACGTAGGGAGTTTGATTGACAACCTAACAGCCAATAGAAAATGAGGCAGCCTCGTTTTCTATTGGCTGATGTTTATCTGGCCTCAACACAATTCCACAGTTGATAGATTTTCTTTCTTTTTTTTTCTGGTCATCATAATTACAAAGCTGCTGCGTCTCTGTAACGGTATTTTAAACTTTCATTGACAATTTGAAACAAATAAAAAAATCCTCCATACAACCTTTAAGTAAAAATATCTTTACTTTTCTTAATTCCTACTCAAGTAGAAACAGAGGCGGTGCTACAATTAGGCAAAAGTAAGCGACCGCGTGGGGCCCCCAAACCTGGATGGGGCCCCAACCAACTGCCCTCAGTGCCACGAACGGCTAAGACCTCAGAGCAATTTGATTCTCTCTCTGTGTGACATTAAAAGAGAGTAGAAGAGAAAAAAAATAATAATATGTATTGGATTTAAACAAAAATATAATTGTACTGGCAAAAAAATAAAACTACTTTCAGCTCTGGTTTTCCAGCAGGCGACCGAACTAATAAGAGAAGTTTCCAATCCACCATAATTCAAGTAAATAAGAAATGTGCAGGTCTCAAGAACAAAACAAAACAAAAAAATGGTGTATTATAGTGAGAGCCCCAAACTCAACTCGCTTAGAGCCTCCAAATGACTAACTCCACCACTGAGCAAAAGTAAAAGAAACCATCTAAAAACCTAAAAAAGTACTTCATTTAAAATCTAATTTGAGTAAAAGTTACTTTCAGTTATTTGATGTAAAAAAAAAAAAAAAGGATTAGTCATAAATCTAATCCAGCACAAGCGTTTTAATCAAGTTTTAGGTGATGCAGACAAACTTTGTACATTTTAAAGACAACTGAGCTCGTCCTTCTGTTTATTGAACTTTGTAGAACGTAGAACTTTAACTGCGTAAGAAATTTAACAAAAAAAACAAACAAAACAGTTACAAAAATTCTGAATAATATGGTCCAAATCACATTACAATAAACACAACATTATAATAAAAAAAGAAAGAAAATTAAACCAAAATCAAAGTATGCAAAACGAAAACGACTCTGATATAAGAAATGAAAAAGTGCCATGACTCGGCACCAGCATCATCCAAGTCGATCCAAGGCGGACTGACAGTTCTGTACGATGACCTTTCTTTCCTTCCGTTTGCAGCAGATTTAGGTTTTTTTTTTTTTTTTTCGCATTTCATGTTTTTTCTGTCAGTCTGATTTTACTCAGTGAGAAGGGTGGATTCCAGTGTAATGAAGTAAAATACTTGGGTCAAAAGTACTTGAGTAAGAGTCAAATTACCTATTAATTACCTCATAAAAACTACTCAGTTACAGTAAGGTGAGTAAATGTAATTCGTTACCTTTCACCCTCGCTAAAAAACTGTAAATATTAGTCCAGTATATTGGCCAAGCGAGATGTCTCTACTCAAAATATTCCTTATCTCTGTGCACCTGACCCGAACTGCACGCAGAACCCGACACCTGCACGAGAGCTCATGTAAAAAAGTTTATTTATACAGAAAAGTGTTTGGGGAAAAAATATATTTGTATGTAAAAAGGTCGATTAAACTAAACATTCACTCGCAAATCCACAACTAACTCACTACAAATCACCTTCTTTCTTCTCAGTATGTTGCACTTAATCACAAATTATAGTTTTTGTAAAGCTCAAATACAATTTTGTAATAGAAAACACCCTGGATATAGCTTATTTTTGTGACCAAGACTTAAAATTATTAATATGTATATGTATATGTATATATGTATATGTATATGTAGCCTCCGTTCATTAAGTGTGAACATGACATTTTAAACGATCATTACTGTTTGTTTTCCAGCTGCTGCCACGCTCAACTACAGGGACAGTCTGCACAACGCTCCAGACAAACGGCTCGTGCGCTCTGACACCGGTGAGTCCCACGCCTACAGTTAAAGATTTACCGTGTAACTTTTCTAGTAGAGAACAACAGGAAGAATCTGAATTTCACCTTTGCCATGGATCTACCTGAACGACTGAGGGACTCTACACACATTTGTCCATAATTTGCTTCACTCCAGGTGGTTTCTTTCTTTCCTCAAATGCTCATTTAATTCAACTATCCCACATCACCAGGCCAAGTTACAGCTCAGATCTGTGGAGAGGTGGACCCGCTCACAGAAAAAAAAAAAAAAAAAAAGCATGTTTTTGTAGTTTTGAGAAATTAAAACCACCTGTAACGGGACAAATGCAAGATATATTTGTTTAATGTCGCACTGTGGAACATCCCAAGCAAAGCGACAACATCACCATGGAGACGAGCACATGGTGGAACCTCCGCCGGAAAAGTTACGCAATGCACCTTTAAGTGTGTATCGTTTATGCTCAGGGAATGACTTGGTAACACTTTATAATAACTACACCTTACTTATCCTTAATAAAGCATGAATAAAGACTTAATTAATAATGAACAAAGATTTAATTAATAATGATTCACGCTTAGTAAATGCTTAATAAAGGATAATTAGTCTTCACTTTAGAAAAGCTCTCAAAAAGACTTAACAGATAACAGCTGCCTGAATGATCATTGCATTGTATTATTAGTAAATCATTCTCTCATAGTTTACTAATGATTAATAAATGCTCAAATGGTTAGTTCATGAGTAATTAAGTATGAAATAATTATGAGTAAATATTTACAGCACAGGCAAATTAAGTGCAAGTGCGAATTAAGGTAGTAATTAAGTAGTTACTAAGTGTGAATCATTATGAATTAAGTCTTTGTTCATTATTAATTAAGCCTTTGTTCATGCTTTATTAAGGCTAAATAAGTTGTAGTTATTATAAAGTGTTACCAGTGACTTTTCAAAGACATTTACGTTTTTCAGTGAGACAAAATAAAGTCATTTCTTTTTTTTTTTTTTTCCAATTGTGCGAAATCCAGTTGAGCAAATCTAACTCTGGTCCAGCTCTGAAATCGTAACATAAGATATGATCAGCGTTCACAAAAATATAAGCAATATATGCGTCTGTTAGTGTTGTGTCGCAGCACTAAAACTCAATTTAGATACTAGGAACAGGAATATACTTGATACTCGATACCATTTCCGATACTGCGATGATAATAAAACGCTTTCTTCTATAGATGATTTTCAACATTAAACGGTAGTACTTTCTTTTTCTCTTCTATGTGGCCTTAAATCTTGTCCCCGTCAGGCCGCCGCACCGCCCTGCCCGCCCACTGCACCGACAACAGCCACATCGGCGTCATGTCCATCCTCTACAACAACATCGGCAAAGACCTGTCCCGCGTGTCCATGCCCGTGGCCCTGAACGAGCCGCTGTGCCTCCTGCAGAGAGTCAGCGAGGAGCTGGAGTACTCCGAGCTCCTGGACACCGCCAACCACACCGACGACCCCTACATCAGGATGGTACGACACGCAGTACAAGTACACAACCACGCAGTACAAGTACACAACCACACAGACGAGCCTGCAACAGTATGGTACAATACACATAAAATCCAGGGCTGACACTCTCTCTTTGATTGTCGATCAGTTTGATAATAACAGACAGAATGAGCCAAATGTGTAAATAAATCCAGTGTATGATCTGTTTTATTATAATTTTACTTTCTGTGCTGATTCTTGACTGAGTACTTTCCTTCTCTGTGTGCAGGTGTATGTGGCTGCCTTCTCCATCTCCGGTTACGCCTGGGCCTCCTGGAGGAACCGGTACAAGCCCTTTAACCCCGTGCTGGGAGAGACGTACGAGAGCGTGAGGGAGGACCGAGGATTCCGCTACGTCAGCGAGCAGGTGAGACCCCGCAGAGACCCCGCAGAGACCCCGCAGAGACCCCGCAGAGACCCCGCAGAGACCCCGCAGAGACCCCGCAGAGACCCCGCAGAGACCCCGCAGAGGACTGTGTGAACCTGAGACTGTTTAAATGTTTTGGAATACTTTCAGTTTCTCTGAAGTGACTCGGATTAGACTTTAACACACACCATGAGACATTTCACTTAACACTAATAATATTACTGTATTTTTCCAGGTGAGCCACCACCCGCCCATCTCTGCCTGCCACGCAGAGTCTGAGAACTTCACCTTCTGGCAGGGTCAGTGTGAATTCTGTCACTAATACAGACTAACATGGTTTATTAGTATTAAATCTTCATGTTAAATATAGTAAATAAACACATATGTTTACAGCACAGTAGTTTCAATAACATGAACTTTGTGTTTGTGCAGATCAGAGATGGAAGAACAAGTTCTGGGGAAAGTCTCTGGAGATCATCTCGTCTGGTCCAGTCAACGTCACTCTGCCCAGGTAAAGCACCAGTGTTCACCAGTACAGTCGTGCACCAGTGTGAACAGTGTGAAACATGTGAAACATGTGAAACTCTACAGTGTGACGGTTCGGTCTTAAAGCTCTGCTCTGGTGCAGGTACAACGATCACTACGAGTGGAACAAAGTGGTGACGTGCATCCACAACGTGCTGACTCAGAACCGCACTCTGGAGCACTACGGAGACGTGCTCATCATCAACAAGAACAGCGACGTGTGCACGTGCAAGATCTCCTTTGTCAAAGTGAGTGAGGGGGGACGGGGGGGACCGGGGTCACATTAGTTTAATTGGTCCCGAAAATCAACTGTAAAGATCACACTATTTACAATAGTGTGATCTTTGAAATCATTTTGATTTGTGGAGCCTTTTCAGTACATTTCTTCTTTTTTTTTCTACTATCGGCTATATAACAGATATTACTGAGTGTATCTCCAAAACTTAAACTGCAATATACATTTTTTCCCACTTAATAGTCTTTTTTTTGTACTTTGTGGCATAAACAGATAAAGCCCCACTGTGTAAGATTTCAGTCAAAAAATAAACACAAATGTAACTAATTTAATTTCATTTCAGATTTTTTTTTTTTTTTTTTTTTGCATCTCCAAATAATGGAGTAAAACTGTTCTATCTCCAAGTTTAACTTTAACTTACTTTTTCTACAGAATCACCAGGAATCTTACACAGTTCTGCTTTTCACAAATAGTTTTCTTATTTTGGAAATACTGGAAGAAAAAAAAGCTTAAATTGGATTATTATAGTGAGTTAGATAATCCTGTAATGATGTTGACCGTCCAGTTTTTCCTGTAGCGGCTCGTGTGGCTCGGTGTTGACTCTGAGTGTTGTTTGTCCAGGCGCGCTACTGGAGCTCGACCAGCGCGAAGAACGAGGTGCACGGGGAGGTGCTGAACCGCTCGGGGGAGGTGGTGCACCGCTTCGGAGGCTTCTGGCACGAGGGCATCTTCTGTGACACTCTGCCAGAGCCCAAGTGCATCTGGAAGCCAAGTGAGTACAACAACTCCTCTACACACCCCGGGGCAGTGCTCAGAACAACATGTGCTGCTCCTGGGATTCAGAAGGATGAAAAATGAAGATTGTTAAACTGAGACGTCCACAAAATGTTGCTTATACAAGACGTTAAATGCGCTGTATGAAGCGGAGTGTTTGTAAAAATCCCTCTTTCCTCTGATGAAGATTGAAAGTTTTAACGTGAGTTTGTGTTTGTCGTGTGCAGACGAGCAGCCGGAGGATTATTTCCAGTTCTACGGCTTCTCCAGATACGCCCGAGAACTCAACGAACTCACACCTCAGCTGCAGAAGGTGCTGCCCCCTACGGACACGCGCTACCGCCCCGACCAGAGGTAAGAGCGCCCGGTTTCTACGTTAAATCGTCTTTATTTAATTCCGCTCATGGTCTGGGGTTGGGGAAGGGTTCTGATTGGACAGAGACACAAACGTATTTACATCGACCGCAAGAAAACACACACTTCAGCTGCTCCCGGCTTTTCCGTCATCTCGGTTTGTCGTTACAACAAAACAAAATCCCGATCCTTCGTTCAACCTCAGTTATGAATTTAAAAAGTCAACGCCAAAGTGAAAGGCTCCAACTGTTCACCAAGAAACACCTTCCACTGCAAAGAGACCAAGACGTGATGTTTCTGTAAAACCACAAGAACAAGAAAGTGCAGCTCAGTCTGTTTGTCTTCTGCTCCTCTCCATTAACAAACGGGATTTTGTTTTGTCGTCGCTCCACATACAAAATGTTCTCTGTAAACTCAGGTTGATTTAGTCAGACAAATGTTTCCTTTTTGGTTCTTCCTGTGGATCAATCCTGCCCATCACCTTCACCTTTCACTATTTTTCAATTCTGTTGGGAAGAGAAACAGTTTGAACAAATGATAATCAATATATTACAAATGATATTCCATGGTATATGACCATTTGAACACATTTTACAGCAGTATTTCTTTGTATCCACTTGCGCGTACTTCATAAGATCATGTGGGGTTTAATTCATTCCAAACTATGAATATTTGCATTATATAAACACAAAATATTGTCCTGCAGTCACAACTTAATTAAAACCGTGCAGATTTAGGCTGAGTTCTTCTCTCAAACAGAACCTTGGCTGAAGAATACAGATGTAACGACCTCCAAATCTCACTGTACGATATTTACTGCGATATTTTGAAGAGGCTGATATAATTGTAGATGGGACACATTTCTGCTTTTAAAATAACTTCACAAGATTTTGGTGTGAATTATTTCCGTCATAATCCCAAGAATTCAAGTAAAAAACATATTTCTTCCTGTTGTCTGCGCTGAAATGAATCATGGGAGATGTAGTTCCCGATGTTTATAAGATGTTGCTGCTATAAAACCATGAATTTAAGCGAAGGAACTTGTGATTCGATATATTGTGACAGTCCACGATATTATTGTGAGACTTTTGAGACGATATCAGGATATTTTGGTGGTTACATCTGTACAAAAGAAGAAACAGGAACAGTATTCTAACCTGACTTAAAGCTCACATGTCAGTTTTGTGTCATCTAGGATCTTGAGTCATGACAATAGATCGTTGTGTGGATGTTTTGGAGTGTGATGTTGTACTGAGTGTTGTGTTTTGTCTATTGTACTGAGTGTTATGTGTGTTTTTGTGTTGTGTCGCAGGCTGCTGGAGGAGGGCAAAGTGACAGAAGCAGATAAGAAGAAGGACGAGGTGGAGCAGAAGCAGAGAGATCGCAGGAAGGAGCTGACCAAGAGGAACCAGGAGCACCAGCCACGATTCTTCTAGTGAGTAAAACACAGAACCACAGACTTTTAAAACACCGAAGCAGCTGCTGAAACGGGCGAGTTTTAATGTTCTGGAATTTTACGGGCGGCTGGGTCAGGACTAAACCAGGACTAATCTTGGACTTGAGAGAGAACCCAGAGTCACCCAACGGTCTACACGCACCTCCTGGCTCATCCCCAACACTCAGTCCTGGTTCAGTTCTGGTTTAGTCCTGGGAGCAGTCCTAGTTTAGTTGTGGTTTAGTCGTCTGCTCAATAAATAATGTCTGTGAAACGATGACAGATTCTTGACAGTCGAGTCGTGTCTGTGAATTCGTATCCGTACTGAAGAAAGTGTAATTGTTTCATTTCATTTCTCGATTGTAATTCTCGATGTTGTAACTTTTTAATTCATATTCTGATGGATAAAATACACAGAACACATTTTACGTAGGACTGGACTCATTCGAGAGTTTACAAATATTTATTTTATGCTTAAGTACAGACAAATATGCAAGGATTTCTATCTTATGCACACGAATATTTCTGAAAGCTTTTGTCCGTACTATTCAAACGGCCTATTCAGTCCTCATTCAGCATTTTCGTTCGTTGAAATAAAGTGCTTCAGTTAGGACACTTTTAATTTGTGTGTGATTTATCTCGTGCATGGGCGGGTAACGGGTGGAATGTTTAACTTTGATATAATCTCGGGTTAACGGGCGGCGGGTGCGACGCTGCACTGCGCAGATGCGGGTCTCTAAAAATGGACCCGTGCAGGACGCTGACCTGGGAGCCTTCACCTTCAGATGGGACACGTACAAGTCGGGGGTTTATTCATTTAGGCAGTGAGGTTTCAGTTCTCCAGATGATTATCCAATGTTTAAAAATAAGTATTCCAGTTGTTAACAGTAAAAGCTCGGACATGTTCACCTCATATTCAGAAGCACAGTTGGGTCATATTTGCAAGACTTGGAATCAGAATTGTACATACAGTTCCTCAGAACCCAGGGACTTTGACTTTGCGGTCGCTGTATCGGACCGTCGTGGTGAAGAGGGAGCTGAGTTGAAAGGCAAAGCTCTCGATTTACTGGTCAGTCTCCGTTCCTGCCCTCACCTCTGGTCATGAGCTCTGGGTAACGATCGACGATACGAGCGACACAAATGAGTTTCCTCTGCTCCTTTAGAGACAGAGTGAGGAGCTCGGAGTAGAGTTTGATGAGTTTGATTTTACTTTGTGGTCATCTCTAAACTCAAACGATCTGTGGTTCTGAATCAATCTGTTGTTTTTGTTTGTTCCTTCAGTAAAACGGTGGACGAGAGCGGGCGCGAGGTCTGGCTCTACAACAACACGTACTGGACGATCCGCGACAACCCGGGTTTCGCCGCCACCGAGAACCTGGACCTGTGGTGTTAGACCCCGACCGGGACCGCGGACGCCGGGCACCCGTGAGCGCCCCCTACGCCTCAGGGGGAGAGAGGTGCTGCTCGGGCGGAGACCATGAAAGACTGAAGAAGAAAGAAAACTGGATGTCTCCGCCGCCGTAACCTCCCGAAACTCCAAAAACAAACTCTCCGGAGCGTTTAAAAGAACCGACGCAAAGTCGAGATTTTGTATTGTACTTCTTTTTTTGGGTAAAGAAGCACTATGGAACTTTTCTTTAGAGGATCACCTGCTGCCCGCTTGTCTCCATGGAGATGCAGTTGCCCGTAATGTTCCACAGTACGGCATTAAATATCCAACATACTGTATTTTTATTCAATACGAAAGGTTTTTCTTGTTCAAAAACGCCTTTAAAAACTTGGTGAGAACAGCCAGCTCTCCACAGACCTGACTCATAACCTGTGCAAAAGACACCATAAAGCCGTCTCTTTGTCCAGAATGTTCCACAGTACGGCTTTAAATATCCAACATGCTGTATTTTTAATCAGTTCTAGATGTTTTTCTCATTCAAAAACACCTTGAAAAACTTGGTTACTAGACTCTCCTCTCCACAAACCCGACTTGTAACTCGGCTTTATAGTGTCTTTTTGGAATCGACCGCTGTGTGATTGTCTCCATGACGATGCAATTGCCTGGAATGTTCCACAGTACGGCATTACATATCCAACTTACCGTATTTTTTATTCAATACGAGAGGTTTTTTATCGTTCAAAAACACCTTGAAAAACTTGGTTACCGGGGCTGCCTCTCCACAGACCTGGCTTGTAACACAGCTTTATAGTGTCTCTTTGGGATTGTTTTCTGTGCAGTTGTCTCCATGGCGATGCATTTGCCCGTAATGTTCCACAGTACAGCATTACTTATCCAACATTCTGTATTTTTATTCAATTCTAGACGTTTTTCTCGTTCACAAACACCTTGAAAAATTTGGCTACGCGGGTCTCCTCTGCACAGACGTGACTTGTAACACGGCTTTATAGTGTCTAATTGGGATCTTTTTCTGGGTGGTTGTCTCCATGGCGATGCAGTTTGTCCGTAATGCTCCACAGTACGGCATTAAATATCCATCTTACCGTATTTTTTTATTCAATTCTAGATGTTTTCTCTCGTTCAAAAACACCTTGAAAAACTTGGTTACTGGGCTCTCCTCTCCACAAACCCGACTTGTAACTCGGCTTTATGGTGTCTCTTGCACGTCTCCTTGGAAATAAGTTTAATGCTGTACTGCGGGACATTCCAGACCGAGCAGTAACACGCCTATAACCTCGCGGAGTCACTTTTTGTACGTATAAAAATCCATAAATTGAATCAGTTTTTCACACTTTGAGACGCTCCTGAAGCCTTTACCGTCGCCGTGGAGACGAGCAGGCGGCGTTACCCAATGACAGAAAAGTTCCACGGTGCGGCTTTAAGCGTAGAGGTGGATTTGCACTGGCCACGGCTGAGACCAGTGGCGTTCCTGTACAGATTATTTATTGTGTATATGGATCATGTACTTGTACTCGTCGTCTTTGTATCGTTGTATTTTTTCATGTGAGCTCGGAAAAAGGTCGGGACTCTTTTTTTTTTTTTTGTTGATGCGATGAAGTATTTTTTATGGATGTTTCAACAAAGGATTTTAGTGAAAAGAGACTGTAAAAGTAAAAGTGAACGCGCTGTCTTTTCTTATACATGTTTTGTTTTGAATAAAATGTTTGGTTGATCAGAAAACGGCTGCTGACCGTGTGGGTTTTTGTTTTTAAGATCTTTTTTTTTTTTTTTGTACCAGGTCTAAATCAAACCGAAAAACCAGGACTAAAATCTGGTCAAATTCAGGTCTAAAACCAGAAGTAAAATGAGGACTAAACCAGACCTAAAAAAGGGTCTAAACCAGGTCTAAAACCAGGTCTGAAACAGGACTAAATCCGGACTAAAACCAGGACTTAAACCAGGTCTAAACCAAGACTAAACCAGGACTAAACCCGGACTAAAAAAGGGTCTAAACCAGGTCTAAAACCAGGTCTAAATCAGGTCTAAAACCAGGTCAAAACCAGAACTAAACAGAACTGAAACCAGGACTAAAGCAGGACTAAAACCCACGACTAAACCAGAACTAAATTCAGGACTTAACCTGGACTAAAAAAGGGTCTAAACCAGGTCTAAAACCAAGTCTGAACCAGGTCTAAACAGAACTGAAACCAGGACTAAACCTGGACTAAAACCAGGACTATACCAAGACTAAACCAGGACTAAACCAGGACTAAACCTGGACTAAAACCAGGTCTAAACCAGGTCGAAATCAGAATTAAAACCAGGACTAAAGCAGGACTAAAATCACGTCTAAATCAGGTCTAAACCCACGACTAAACCAGAACTAAAACCAGGTCTAAAACCGGGACTATGATCTGGTTCGAGGCTTTAAATCAAACTGTAGAAATGTTTTTCTTTATTTAATCCAAATTGACTTGTTTTAAAACATAAACAAACACATTTACATAAGTTCTGCTTTAATAATCGTCATCGTTAGAGTTTCTTTTCCTTTTAAGGTGCAGTTTTTCTGAAGTGACTTCCTGATTCCTGCTCTGACAGAACCAGTCCTGCACCTGCGGACCTTTTGTTTTGTTTTGTTTTGTTTCTGTAAGAACGTCGACGCTGGATTCATGACCCAGAACACCGTGTAATCCTCTCCACCATCGTGAATCACATGGACGTGTTTATGTAGGTCATCTCCAGTCGCACTGAGTCAACGACGGCTCAGAAACAAAACGACACATCATGAACGAGCTGGAGTCATTTCAACCTTTTATCTGTCGTTTGGTCCTGAAGGTTTTTAATCGTTTTGTGACTGCAAATCTGCACAATCTCAGCACATCCAAGTATGACTCTGGCTTCGGGAAGTTTTGCATTTGAAATGATCACTGATAGAAGTGACAGTAAACATAAACGTGCTCTGATGTGATCTACAGTCTGTAAAATAAACAGATCAAAAGTAAAAATAAACTCGTGCATTGAGCGTGTGTTCAGGTCTAAACAAGAGCTGGAAAAAATGTAATAAAAGCCAGAAAAAAATTAATATGAAAACAAAGACTGGAAATATATAAGTCAAAAAGGTATTGATTAAAAAAGTACATAAAAAGTACATAAATGATCAACTTTTACGCCTTCGTTAACATTATTATTAGTTTGCAAGGCCATAAACGAAAAACAAATAATACTTATACTTTTTATTTTATATGTGTATATGTATATATGTATATATGTGTATATGTATATATATCATCCATATATATATATATATTTATGTTGTATATGGCCGAGCACCAAAGTATACATGTGTGTCATATGAACCATCTCGCATGTAGGGACCCTCCTGTGGTGCCCAGAGTAGAACTAAACAAGGGGGTAGCGTTTCATTCATGCAGCTAAAACCTGGAACACTTCCTGATGTGATATGTTTAAATCCAGACTCAAAACATTTCTGTTTATGTGCAAATTGAAAGGTTTTCATTCCGCCTCTTCTCTCCTCTCTTTTTAATTTTAATCCATGATTATTTATGTTTTGATTCTTATTCTGTAAAGCACTTGATTACCGAATATACAAATAAACTGATATATATATATATATATATAATGTGTGTGTATGTATATGTGTTCTCATTGTAGTTTTTTCGTACGATCATAAACGATAAACTTTTATGCCTTCGTTAACATTATTATTAGTTTGTAAGACCATAAACGAAAAACAAATAAACTTTATATGTGTGTATGTATGTATGTATGTATTTGTGTATATGTGTATATGCATGTATGTATTTATGTGTGTATATATATATATATATATATATATATATATATATATATATATATATTATATATATTATATATATATATATATATATATATATTATATATATATATTTTTTTATTATTATTATCTTTTCATTTACATTGTTGTTTTGTTTTGCATGATTATAAACGATAAAATTTCGTCCCTTTGTTAACACTACTGTTAGTTTGTACGACCATAAACAGGAGGAAAATGTATGTATGTGTATATATATATATATATATATATATATATATATATATATATATATATATACGTGTATTCATATGTATGTGTATAAAACTAGAATTGATTAATAAAAAAAAAAAAGTACATAAAAAAGGCAGAAAATTCTGACCTTTTTTGGAAGGTTTTAGAAAAGTCTTGAATTAAAAATGAAAGAATCTATGAGTAAGATTTTTTATTTCTTCATAAACTTGACCAAACTCTGTCCCCAGAAGTTCAGATCAAATGCAAATTTTACTAGTGTTGTTGTCAAGACCGGATTAAATGAGACCAAGACCAGACTGAGACCACAGGGTCCAGAGACCAGGACAAGACCAAGACCTCAGAGGGTCGAGACTGAGACAAAACCGAGACTTTTAAAAGTAAAGACAGAGACAAGACCGAGACTTTTAAAAGTAAAGACAGAGACAAGACCGAGACTTTTAAAAGTAAAGACAGAGACAAGACCGAGACTTTTAAAAGTCAAGACAGAGACAAGACCGAGACTTTTAAAAGGACGAGACAAAACAAGACCGAGACTTTTAAAAGTCAAGACTGAGACAAGACCGAGACTTTTAAAAGTAAAGACAGAGACAAGACAGAGACTTTTAAAAATCGAGACCGAGACAAGACCGAGACTTTTAAAAGTCAAGACTGAGACAAGACCGAGACTTTTAAAAGTAAAGACAGAGACAAGACCGAGACTTTTAAAAGTCAAGACTGAGACAAGACCGAGACTTTTAAAAGTAAAGACAGAGACAAGACAGAGACTTTTAAAAGTAAAGACAGAGACAAGACCGAGACTTTTAAAGGTCGAGACAGAGACAAGACCGAGACTTTTAAAGGTAAAGACAGAGACAAGACCGAGACTTTTAAAAGTAAAGACAGAGACAAGACCGAGACTTTTAAAGGTCGAGACTGAAACAAGACCAAAACCACGGCCCATCGAGCCCAAACTGAGACCATCTTTGTCATTTTCCACATGTATTTGTATTTTACAGTCACAAATATCTCAATGTTTTTATCGATCTATTTCCATTTGTGTTTACCTTAAAATAACTAAAACCAAACTGTTCCGCTCTGTGCTGTTTCAGAGTCAATAATGTGTTTTGTTTTTTTTTCAAGTTCTTAACATTTACAGTCACTTTCTCTTACAGGTTTTACAGTGATATTTTGCCTCTGCACATTGTCCAGCTGTAATGAAATATGATCCAACTCTTTTCCTGATCTCTTGAGCCAGTGCTAGTGCAGCCTCTGCAGCTCAGGGACAGAATTCTGGAGGTTCTGAACATGAACTGAGACTGAGACAAACTTGGACGTGTCTCTGTCTGCAGGTGAAGACTCTGGAGACACGTGTTCACACTGATTGTAGTAACTCTTTCTTTTAAAAAACCCTCAGTGAAATGTATTTTCTGCATCACTGTGGATCAGGAGGAAACAGACTGAACATTTTACTCGGTTCAAATGCGCCATCTAGTGGATTTCCCTTAAACCTGCACTGTATTTCATGAAGGTTCAGCTCGACTCGAGGTAACTCCACACGTTTTATGTTTTCCATTTGTGAACAGCCGTGTGAGAGATTCATGTAAAGATTTCAACAAGTTTGGGTGATTTTTTTAATGTTTATTTAATGTGGTGGAATAAAAACTGTAATACTTTTAAAGATAAATGACCAATCAAGACTCAGTTTGTGAAGAAAAGTTGAAAAACAGGAATAAGAGAAAAGGAATTGTACAAGTTTGGTGCATTTTACACAAGAATATCCTCCCTAATATTCTGAAGATTATTTCAACTAAATAAATGTGTTTTCTTCATTTTTTATTTGTCATTTATTTGTGTATATTAGATGAGTTTTGCCATTTTAAAAATTATTATCTTAACTGTGTTTTACAGAAATGAAAACGGGTCGGGGGTGAAAAAGGTGAGAGTTTTTGTTTTGTTTTGTGTTTTTGCAAACTGGGGCGTCTCTATTCAGGGTTAATGAGACCAGGTCGTGTCTAGATTCACCAGGACGAGTGAAACCAAGACCCGTCCAAGACCACAGGGTCCTGAGACCAAGACAAGAACAAGGCCTCTGAGGACCACGGCCCATCAAGACCATTTTTGTCATTTTCTACATTTATTTGTATTTTACAGTTATTTGGGTCCATTTATATCAATGTTTTTATAAATCTATCTCCATTTGATCTGATAAATGTTAATTTAAGCTTAAGACAAATAAACTGTTCTGCTCTGAAACAGTCTGTGCACCTTTTTGGACGCTCACCCACAGTTTGAGAAGCTCTTCATTAATCCCACTTCTTCTGACACTTTACAGAAAACTGCCTCAAAGTGAAGAAAGTGGGGAGTTTTTTTTTTCAAATTCCAAACTGGAGTTACATTCTCTCACAGGTTTCACAGTGATATTGAGCCTCTGCACATTTACCAAACCAAACGCACATCGTGACAAACACAGATTTATTTGGGTCTGATTCATCAGACGGTTTCACTTCATGGAAACCATTTGACCTCGCAGCATCGGGATTCGTTCGCTCGACAGTCGGTGGGTTCTGTTTGGTCGTGTCGTATGTAATGCCTCAAATCCCGTAGGAAGAAGGACAATAACGTCTTTCCCTTTGATAAAATTCACCAAACATTCTCTTTGTTCTGGTTTTAAATCCTCGATCTTGGGAATCGTTGACAACACTGAATGTCTGTCTCTTC